CTGCTGCCAGCTTCAGTCCTGCAATGAGTGCTTCGTATTCTGCTTCGTTGTTTGAGGCTTTAAATCCCAAACGAATGGACTGCTCCACTATCTGTCCATCTGGGGATATCAGTACTACTCCTGCCCCTGCTCCTTGTCAGTTTGAACTCCCATCAATAAACAGTCGAAAGGAGTCGCCGATGTAAATGCTGCAGGGTCTGAGTTTGTCCTCTTTCCTTTGTTCTTTCGCCTTTGGTTGTGATTCTCCTTGCTTGGTTGGACATCGCTCATCCTTGCTCAACGAAGCCTGATGTTCGATGGATTCTGGTGTGAACTCGGCCACGAAGTCGGCCAGAACCTGGCCTTTGATTGTTGTCCTTGGCCTGTATCCAGGTCATACTAGCCTAGGGCGACTGCCCATCTGGCTATTCTTCCTGTCAGGTCTCCTTGTTGCAGTAAGGACTTCAAGGGGTGTTCTGTTAGCACCACAATTTTATGGGCCTGGAAGTAATGGTTCAACTTCTTTGAAGCCATTACTAAAGCTAGTGCCAATTTCTCTAAGGGTAGATACCTCATTTCTGCATCAGCTAGGGTTTTGCTTACATAGTAAATAGCCCTTTCCTCCCATTTTTCTTCTCGGATTAGTACTGCACTTATCGCATGTTCTGAAACTGCTAAGTATAGAAATAGCTCCGCCCCAGGTTTTGGATTTGAAAGAACTGGAGCTGTGGTCAAGTACTTCTTTATGTCGGCCAAAGCGGCTTCACATTCTTCTGTCCATAGGAAGTCTGTGGCTTTCTTCACCAAGTTAAAGAAAGGTCTGCGCTTATCTGAGCTTCTACTGATGAATCTGTTTAGGGCTGCGGCCCTTCCAGTTAGCATCTACACCTGTTTTGCCGACGTCAGGCTCTTCAACTCTAGGATGGCCTTGATTTGATCTGGGCTGGCCTCGATGCCCCTTCTAGTTACCAGGTATCCTAAAAACTTACCAGATCCAACTACAAATGCACACTTCGATGCATTGAGTCGGAGCCGATATGTTTTAAGAATTTCAAAGACTTTTTTTAGATCGGCAAGATGACCCTCTGGCTCCTTGGTCTTAACGACCATGTCATCAATGTAGACTTCTACTATTCGGCCAATCAGGTGTTTGAACATTTTGGTCACCAGCCTTTGGTAAGTTGCCCCTGTATTTTTTAACCCGAAAGGCATTACTCTGTAACAGTACAGGCCTTTTGGGGTGATGAATCTTCTCTTCATTTAGGGGGTATATGGCTATCTAGTGGTACCCCCTGTAGGCATCTAGGAAACTCATTCTTCCATGCCCTGAAGTGGCATCTACTAGCTGGTCAATCTTGGGTAGAGGAAAGCTGTCTTTGGGATAGGCTTTGTTGAGGCTGGTGAAGTCTACGCAGACCCTCTATTTACTGTTCTTCTTTTTTACCACCACTGTATTGGATAGCCATGTCGGGTAGTGTACTTCTCTAATGGCCCTGGCCTCTACAAGTTTGTCTACTTCTTTCTCTACTGCTTCGACGTGCATCAATGTCGGTCTTCTGGCTCGCTGAATTACAGGTTTGGCTGACCTATCGACATTCAGTCTGTGGCACGTGACCTCGGGGTCAATGCTAGGCATTTCGTAAGGTGTCCAAGCAAACACCTCAATATTAAGCTGTCTTTGGGATAGGCTTTGTTGAGGCTGGTGAAGTCTACGCAGACCCTCTATTTACTGTTCTTCTTTTTTACCACCACTGTATTGGATAGCCATGTCGGGTAGTGTACTTCTCTAATGGCCCTGGCCTCCAGAAGTTTGTCTACTTCTTTCTCTACTGCTTCGACGTGCATCAATGTCGGTCTTCTGGCTCGCTGAATTACAGGTTTGGCTGACCTATCGACATTCAGTCTGTGGCACGTGACCTCGGGGTCAATGCTAGGCATTTCGTAAGGTGTCCAAGCAAACACCTCAATATTTGCTCTCAAAAAAGTTTCCAACTCTTTTTCCTCTTTTTCGGCTAAGCTCAAGCCGAGAAGAAAGAAGCGTTCTTCATCCCCATCCTGGACGAGGATTTTCTTCAGTGCCTCCTCGCTCTACTCGGCTGGTTCCTTGCCGACATCTTCTAGGATTTCCACGTCCTCATCTTCAATTTCTGCCTTTTATGGCTCTCGTATGCTACAGGTAGATTTCATTGCTGCCATGGAGCAATTCTTCGCTGCAGCTGATCGCCTCTGACTTCCTCTATCCCATGCTCTGTTAGGAATCACAATAGTTAATGCAATGTTGAGGGAACTGCCCCCATTGCATGCAACCATGGTCTTTCCAAGATGATGTTGTAAGGGGAGGGTGTGTCGATGATGGTGAATTCTGTCTTGATCTTCCTGGTGCCTGCCTGCACCTCCAAGCTTACTGTTCCCAGTGGCCATGTCGGAGTTCCATTGAACCCAACCATGGGCCACTGGATTGTTCCATATCATCTGGGTGAAGGCCGAGCTCTTTGTGACATCGGACGTACATGATGTCACGAGAGCTGCCTTGGTCAATCAAGATGCGTTTCACTTGGCACTCCCTAACCTGGAGGAATACTACCAAGGCTTCATTGTGCGGATGCTGGACCATCTCTAGGTCGGCTTCAGTAAAGGTTACCATTGGTCCCTGGCACTCTTCTGCCCAATGTCTTTTCTCCCCGACTTGGTAGACATGTTGTAGGTGTTTTACCTTATGGGTCTCTCCTCGGATTTCGTTTTTGTTGACCTTCGAGTGGATTACGTTGATTACCCGAGGTCCTCCTGCCTGTGGCTACTGTGCTGGGGGAGGTGGGGCTGCTGGTGCCTGAGGCAACCTTGCCCGTTCTTCCCTTGTCCTGGTCTCATCGACAAGGCCTCTCAGATGTCCTTGTCTCACCAGGTCTTCCAAATATGTTTTCAGGGCTCTACAACCCCATCTTCATTGTGGTAGGCACAATGCCTGCCGATGTTACTTCCCATGAACTCTCCTGGAGTCCTCTCTGGCGTTCTGAAATAGGGCTGGTTCCGAATTTGATCCAGGACTTTGGGAATTGGGATTCGGAACACAGTTGTTACTGCTTGTGTGGCCCTCAGTTCTGCCTCTTGCCTGCTCGTTCCATTGTTACCTCACCCTCGTTTCGGGGAGCCGTTTCCTTTCTCTTGTTTTATCTCCTTGGTTCCCGACGTATCTTCTTCGGCTTTGGTGTACTTCTCGATTCTCGCCATGAACTCCTCCATACTTTTTGGCAATGTCTTTGCTAAAGACTTTCGTAGTGGACAGTTGTCTTTCAAGCCATTCTTGAAAGATACGACTGACACCTCTTGATTACATTCGGGTATTCGATTGAACACCTCATAGTATCTTTTTGCATAGGCCCTAAGGCCTTCATCCTTGCTGATCTTCAGAGCCGTCAATGCGTCCGCCCTTAATGGTTGCAGCTTGTTTGTCACAAACCTGGCCACTAACATCACGGCCAGGCCTTCCCAAGTCTTCACGCTTCATTTTGGTAGTTTGTGGAACCAATCTGATGCAATCTCCCCGAAGGATAAGGGGAACACTTTGCAGAGCAATGGCTCGTTCCCGCTATACAATGCCATTGAGTTCAAATAGAGTCCAATGTGGAAGTTGGGGTCTGACTTACCATCGTATATTTGAAACCTCGACGTACTGAATCTCTTCGGCGCCTCAAACCTGTCTAATTCCACCGAGAATGGTGTCCTCGGCTTATCTGGGGAGGTTACCTCGGCATAGGCATTCTGTTGCTTCCTCTTGAGGTAATCTCTTAAGTCTTCTTTGCTCCGCCCAGGAGCTCGGCCATCTTTTGACTTTAGTCTTTTTGGTATACTACTCTCGGCCTCGTGGTGAGCCCTTTTCAACCCTTCTCCATGAGTTGTGTCGAAGCATAGTGCCTATCCTTGAACATGTCGATGTCCTTTGGGGTCTGCCTCCTTTGTGCGATGCGTCGTCCGTGATTCTTCTCTTCTTGACTCTCTTCGTCCGACCTCTCTAGAAGGTCGGTGAGAGTGTCTTTCGCTCCCGTTGTGCTTAGGGGCTATGGGGATTGTTTTCTGTCCTCCCTTCTGGGTATTGGCCGCTGGAATCGGCGTGTCCTGTAGCGGGAATGGTGGCTGAATGACGTTATTTTGCATCATGAAATTGACGACCGACTGTAGGTCTGCCAATTTGTTTGCCATATCTCTTACCTCTTCGTCCCTCCGCAAGCACCTATCCTTCCATACCTGGAGGTCGTCCTCGTTGTAGTACCCACTTTGATCTGGTTTCTTTGGTGCGTCGCCAGTCTGGCCGACGTCTTTTACTCCATGATTTTGGTCACGAGTTTCTACGTTGCATTCGTCTCCTGTGATATCAAGGTCAATTGGTCTCCCGCTCCCAGCAGGAGTGTCGTCCCCAACCTTTTCTTTCTGTCCATTACTGGCCATCTATTCTCCTTTCTTTCCCACAGACGGCACCAAATTGTGTGAGTGATTTTCCGATCACACTGCTCAACTCAGTATTCAGCTGGAGAGCACTGGCAGAATAGATGACACCTGGCTAACCTGTAACAGAAAGAGAAGATTCCGGCGATGGTTCGTCCACCCGGGGGCACTCCAACGATCAAGTTAGTATATCTCTCAAAGATAAATCAATAGTGCTTAACTCACTAGACAGAATATAAATTGCGTACCTGAGACCCATGGGGGTGCCTCTCTTTTATAGCTAACTCAATCCTAGTCCCAATAGAAGCCTGACCTCTATAGACTCCTGTTCAGTATATACTTTGGACTCCTCAAGCGATATGGATAGATTCCCTAAGAACATTATTATTATCCATCTTGAAGTCTTCCCTTATTCTAGGACTCTTGTCCTTTATCCGCTTTTCTCAGACTCCGATATCTTTGGAGATAACCTCGCCTTTAACCGAGATCACCTCGGCGTCATGACCCTGACACGTGACACCTCGGCTGACACATCGGCGTCACCTTGTCACGTGTCGGTACTCAAAAATATATCCCCACACCTCTCACAGGAGTCAACATTATCAAAACAGAAAAACATGAAACCTTCACCATTTGCTAAAACCTCACTCAGACCCAAATTCTTCCATTGGTTTGAGACACTATTTTTGACATAGTTATAAGGCAGTTTCTTGTCAAGGAAATACCCAACGAAACAGGATTCCCACTTACCTAGGTCCTCCTTCCGAGGGGGTAGTTCCACCAAATTAGGGTTATCAGAAAGGGGAGAGGGGATATACCTTAATTTGACAGGGGATCTACTAGGCATGTTGGCCACATCAGCCCAGGTTTTTGTCGGCCCTTGAGGAACAGCCCCAAAAGGTCGTCTCCCATCAACAAAATTACTCATATTTCCCCTACCACCTCTTCCACGACTGCCACGATGAGCACCATGACCTCTCCCTCCACGATCCTCTCTACTAGACTGACCCCGGTCCACTTCATCAACCAAAAGGACTTCAACATCCTGAAGACCTAGAGCATCAAGGCAACTGGATGTTGTCCCTTGTGATAGATCCAATCCCTCAAGATTTGTCATCACTATATCGCTATCTAGTTTGGAGCCCTCAAGGGAAGGTTGGGACAAGCCCCGAATCCTCGTAAGAGGAAGACTGTCTTGGGCTCCTTCGAACCGATTTGTCTCTATACCTTCCTCAACCACATCGCCCCATCGCAGAGTACTAATCGGGCTGAGCGGGGTGCTCACAGCATTCCCAATCGAAGGCCCGAACACAGATAGAACCTGGTCCCCTGCCAATGTACCACGCTTGCCAATATTGCTCTGCTCCTTCAAACTTTGAAGCTGATTTGCTAACTCAGACATCGAGGTTTCAAAAAGGTTCCCTGTTTGTTTTATCTGTTTGTTTAGCTAGCTCTGTCCTTGTTTTGTTTTGCTAGGGCTGGGTATGTCCCTCGTATTCGTGGAAATTCTTTGTTTTATTTTATAACTTACTCCCTTAAAAAAAAATGCTAGAGACTCCAAAAGCTTTACCAAATTTTCTATCAAATATCTCACATGGATGTGGGATCCACACCATGTAAGTCTCATGTGGGTCCTACATTAATAGAAAATTTGGTAAAACTTTTGGGATTTCTAGCATTACTCTTTTTTTTTTTTTTTAAATAAAGGCTTAATTTATTTTGAGAGGGAGAAGGGGGATTGAGAATTGTGTGCTCTTTTTTTTTCTTTCTGTCTTTCTTTCTTTCTTTCTTTTTAATGACAATATATTTGTATTAAATAATTTTGAAGGTTAATATTTATGTCCTTGGAATAACCAATAGAAGTTTTAATTTTTTTTATAAAAATAAAAAATTCAAAAAATTAAATTTAAGGTTTCAAAACACTTGGGGCCTCTAAGATTAAAAGTCACTTTGGTATAATATATAGCATAGATAGATAGATTATGAGATTTAGAAAAGAGATAAATATTAGGGGAGAGTTTTTAGGAACTTGTAATTCAATTTTTTTTTTTTTAATCTATGGTTACTTTGTCAGCCAATAGCATTATTTTTAAAATTATAAAAATTAACAATTTCAGTTTTTTTTTTAATCTATTGTTACTTTGTTAGCCAATTAAATAATTTTGAAGGTTAATATTTATGTGCTTGGAATAACCAATAGAAGTTTTAATTTTTTTTATAAAAATAAAAAATTCAAAAAATTAAATTTAAGGTTTCAAAACACTTGGGGCCTCTAAGATTAAAAGTCACTTTGGTATAATATATAGCATAGATAGATAGATTATGAGATTTAGAAAAGAGATAAATATTAGGGGAGAGTTTTTAGGAACTTGTAATTCAATTTTTTTTTTTTTAATCTATGGTTACTTTGTCAGCCAATAGCATTATTTTTAAAATTATAAAAATTAACAATTTCAGTTTTTTTTTTTTAATCTATAGTTACTTTGTTAGCCAATTAAATAATTTTGAAGGTTAATATTTATGTCCTTGGAATAGCCAATAGATGTTTTAATTTTTTATTTTATAAAAATCAAAAATTCAAAAAATTAAATTTAAGGTTTCAAAACACTTGGGACCTCTAAGATTAAAAGTCACTTTGGTATAATATATAGCATAGATAGATAGATTATGAGATTTAGAAAAGAGATAAATATTAGGGGAGAGTTTTTAGGAACTTGTAATTCAATTTTTTTTTTTTTAATCTATGGTTACTTTGTCAGCCAATAGCATTATTTTTAAAATTATAAAAATTAACAATTTCAGTTTTTTTTTTTTAATCTATAGTTACTTTGTTAGCCAATTAAATAATTTTGAAGGTTAATATTTATGTCCTTGGAATAGCCAATAGATGTTTTAATTTTTTATTTTATAAAAATCAAAAATTCAAAAAATTAAATTTAAGGTTTCAAAACACTTGGGACCTCTAAGATTAAAAGTCACTTTGGTATAATATATAGCATAGATAGATAGATTATGAGATTTAGAAAAGAGATAAATATTAGGAGAGAGTTTTTAGGAACTTGTAATTCAATTATTATTATTATTATTTTAAATTTATAGTTACTTTGTTAGCCAATAGTACTATTTAAAATTACAAAAATTATCAATTGTGGTGTAAAGTGTTTTTTTAAAACAAATATATATAATTAGGGCGGCCGGGGGCCCGGGGTCTTCCCGTGGGGTTTTTTTTTTTTTTTTTTTTTTTTTTTTTTTTTTTTTTGTGCGCGCGCGCGCGCGTACATTGGGCATGCACGCATTGAGTTTATACTATCTAATAATTTTTTTTTTTTTTAACAATACTATCTAATTATTGGGATTCACATTTTTTTTTTTATAGTAAAAGTTGTGTTATATAGCATTACTCTTTTATTAATGCATTCTTGAAATACTTTATCTAATAAAATTTTTTTTTTAACAATACTATTTAATAATTGGGATTCACATTTATTTTTTTTTTTGGGTAAAAGTTGTGGTATATAGCATTACTCTTTTATTAATGCATTCTTGAAATACCTTATTTAGGGATGAGTATGATTTGATTTGCCCGATTTAGAAGTAAATCAAGAATTAAACTCACAGTCCTACGAATTTTATAAACCAAATCAAATTATGAAAATTTTATAATCTAATCAAATCGAACAAATAAAAGGTGATTCGGTTCAATTTAAAACAATAAATTTTAAAAATCTTGTCATTATTCAAAATATAAACACAAAATATTACTCACAATTTACTTAAAGATAAAATAACATGTCACAATCGGAATAGTAATTAGAAGTGTCTATAATACAGAACAAATTATATATGTATGTTTGAGTCTACAAAGGCTAGTTTAGTTCTAAACCACAATTTATTTTTTATTTTTTATTTTTTTATTAGAGAGAGAGAGGGAGAGATAGGGAGAGAACCTTTTATTGATGGAATTCAATTTACATAAAGCATTGAGACAACATCAAAAAAGAAAGGGAAATTTGGTCATAAACCCCCCTCTTATCTTCCTTTTTCTTGTTAAAAGGACCTATATATATATATATATTTTTTTTCAAAACCCGCTCATAATTATAAAGTCTTGTAGAAAGGGTAAAATTTATTATTTAATTATTTTATCTAACTATTATACCATCAACTAGATCTTCAATTCAAGGAATGTGAAGAATGTTGCGATGTGTGAAGTAATGATGATGATGAAGGATTTGAGTTCGGTGTGGAGATCAAGGTCGGTAAAGGATACGACGACAGGTTCGTTGTCTTCTTCATTTTTGAGATCATCTTACTTGAGCAAAACTCCTTTGAGAGAGCCAAATCGAAGAGGTTTGTGAGATTCTACCTGTTACAGTCATCGTCAATGAAGATTCTCACCCCTGCAGACACAAATGCATCTACAGAGACAATCCGAGTCTTCTGCCAACGCCTATTCTTCGAAAAATCTCTGAGACTACAACGATGAAGAACAAAAATGCATATCAATTAAGAGATTTTTAGGATGATGCTGATGATGATGAATGATTATATAAGTTGTGTGAGCTCTGATCTGTTTGAGCTGGAAAACATTGGTGCGATGGGGGTTGGAGTATACAGAGAGAGAACAAAAATGCATATTAATTAGCTTTATTTATTTATTTATTTATTTATAGATCTAAAAGTAAAATTTGACTCTAATTCGTATTAGTATGCATTTTATTTTTTGTAGCAGTAAAATTTTACTCTAATTAAAAACATGTTGATTTTCTTAACGATATGAAATTTTACTTTAAATCATAATAAATTTACTCTGATTTAGAGTAAAATTTTACTCTGAAATACACTGGGAGTATGGCTTTACAGGAGAGCTGATATATATATATATATATATATATGAGGGTAGTATAGTAAAATAAATAAATTGTAAAATATTAGGGGGTTTTGAAAGATTTATATAATTCTTGTCTTTTTGAAAAACAAATTAGACAGTCTATCACCAAATCCCCCACCAAAAAAACCATGCAACATTAAACCAGAATTATAATTATAAAAAAATCACAGATCAAATCGTAAATTACGATTTACTTATTTTAAAAATCAAGAGTAAACCGTTTGTTAAGAAAATCAGACCGTGTAATTAGGTTCGAGTCACACTGATTTCCAACTTTTTTAATTTTTTCTCAATCATACTCTTATGTGTAGTCATTTATTACTTTACATCAATATATATAGAATTTTCATATATATAAAAGAAAAAAGTTGCACACTATAATTTTTCCATCATAAGTTCAAATTATGAAAATAACATTGCCGCATAAAAAAATAAGATTGAATATATTTGACCATAAAAAAAAATCATGGGCACTGAAACATTTTTCTTTATTTCATATGGGCAATGAATCATGATCTCTGGGTGCTGTAATTTTCACAAACAGTAAAACTCCAAATTCAATTCTTTGCTACGTTTAGAATGGACTAATAAATTATATTAAAAGCCTTGAAATGAATTCAAAAAATGCTCTAATGAAGAAGAAACAAACCATGTAACATACACCACAATTTATTTTCTCCTTATTAGACACACTTCAATAAGGAATCAAATTGGAGATTATTACTGGGGAGATAGAGGGTCCCTGTGTGCCTTATGTAAGTTATCCATAGAACCTTATTTAGCCCTCATCAAACTCTTCCCCATTGTCCAGCTTTGATAGACCCATGCCATGGAAGCTGTCATACATCACACACAACATTTAGGCTCCAATTGTATTTATGAATTTGAAATGCATGAATTTAATATTAATCATTCAAGGAGAGAAGGCAAGAAGAATAGCTCATATTTAGATATGATAGTTTATCTATGTATGTCAATATTATATTAAGAAATTTATCATGATGGATTTGAAATACCTATGAAAAAAATAATTATTTGGAATCATTCTAAATATTCTCTTTTTAGCCACAAAAATGTTACAAAAAATACATCTTTTTCTGTTTTTCTATCCACCAATAATAGCTAATTCTTCAATATTTTTATAAAATTAATTTAAAATACGTCCAATCAAACAGACTCTCTTGGTGAATTTGTTAAAATATTTTAGACAACAGTTTCAAATGAATCATTCTAAGACATTTTTTTTTTTTGGGGATCAGTTACAGTACTCTCCACCCAACTGAGTTTTTTTCGGTCATATTTGATTTGAGAATAACGGATTTTAACTCAGTTGATTTATATTTTGCGAATGACTAAAACATTCTCATCGGGATACCTTATCCTCCCTTATCCAGTATTAAAAGGTTTATCAAATTTGTTTTTTCAAGGGATTCACAGTATTTCACATAAACAAAACACAATCTAATAGAAAATGATTTGGGCCTTCTAACTTATCAGTTAGTTAACGTTACTTATGCCTATGGTTAGTCCTCTAATACAGTAGTTACCAACCTTAAAATATAGTTAATATAGTAAAAATTAAGCAATATTATGCAACGTACCT